GTACCAATTAAGGCACCAACCTGGGGTCAGGAGGGGGCAGACAGTAAAAAGAGCAGGGCACACAGAGGGAAGCCCTGCTCCTACCACCCTGACGTGGCACCAGCAACATCAGTGATTCTCAGCCTGTTTAGTTTCAAGCCCCCTCTACCTCCGTGCCTTTCAACTGGGGAGCCACAACATTCAAAACAGTTATCCAGGGGCCTTGAGGCCGAAGAAGTAAAAACCACTGGTGTCAAAACAAATCCTTTGCTGAAAAAAAGATGTATTTGGTGTCATTTTTTAACAGTACAGCTCAGCACTGGTATGATTTCCTCTGGCAGAGGAAAGGAACACGTTATGTTTTGAAAAATACCTTTTGGGTGTAAGACTGATGTATGCTGCTCATTTTAATTCAGAAAAAAGCATGTCCCAGGTACAAAAAGTCTTGGAAATACTGATCTACTGAGGCAAAGGTAGGCTGAGCTGAGTGCAGCCACTGCCGTCTTGACTCTGCTGGCTAATTGTACAGTCTGCCGGGTTCACTTTGTGCTCTCTCAGAAACCGGCTTCAGGCCCTTTTGCTTCAGCCGCATCTTTGTAATGGCTTGGGCCCATGAAAATAGCCAAGGCTGGCAACAGTACCCTTGTACCACGTTAGCAGCCATCCCACCTAGCTGAGGTTCAGACAGCAATGATACACATGTATAAGCTGGGCCTCCTGTGCATGTCATCCAACTAGGGCAATGCATATGCACAACTCCAATGCGTGTCATTTCAACATTGTGTGTCACATGCACTTCTGTCAGTCCCATGGCTCTGTCACAGTGAGACAGCTTTGCTAAGACGTCATTTGAGCACAGACCATAGAGTGCACAGGACACCCATGCAGATACCAGTACCAACACCTGTCTACCAGTACTGATCCGGGACAGATGCAGGAACTACGTCCCACCTCCTGGGGGTTAGAAGTTGCTCCAAGTAGATGGGTTCTGCTGTGAGGAGGACAGAGGTCGCAGGGGAACCCATCCCTACCTAGGAGTGCTTCGTTATTGTAAGGAGGGTACTCCGAGTCCTGCCTGGGGCATCATACAGTCATAGAGGGTTGAAGGGACCTCAGGAAGTCACATTTAATCCAACCCCCTGCTCCAAGCAGGACCAGCCCCAGCTACATCATCCCAGCCGAGGCTTTGTCTAGCTGGGTTTTAAACACCTCCAAGGACAGAGGCTCTACAACCTCTCTGGGTAGCCTGTTTCAGTGCCTTACTATCCTCCTCATGAGAAAGTTTTTCCTAATACCTAACTTCAACTTCTCTTGCTGCAACTTGAGCCCATTGCTCCTTGTTCTGTCATTATCAGCCATCGCAGCTGCTGGGTGGAAGTGCACTGCTCCAGTTTCCACATCTGCTGTTGGTCTGTGACCCAAGTCCCCCATGGCTGCACATCACTGACTCTTTTCCCCGTTTGGTTCATTTGTCACTCGCCAGCAGGGAAGCTTTGCTCATTCCGAGTACCCAGAAAGCACAGTGGGGTCTCAGGTGTCTGGTTGGGGGCTGAGTAGCTGTTATTCAGGTTGTTAGTAGAAGCTCTAGGGCTGAGCCTGGCACTTTTCAAAGCTCAGCAGCCCCTGGCAGAAGGGATCTCATGCCTTGCTGTTGCTGCTGTTTCCCGCTTCTATTCCGGTTGTTTCCTTAGGGCGCTGCCGCCTTCTGCAATGGGAACTTGAAACTTGCCAGTCTTTAAATCACCCAGCTCGGATAATCTGTAGGACTTGGGGTGACCCTAGCCACCAGACACCTACTGGAGTGACTTGCTACAAGCCCGTTGCAGGCAAAGCACACACCCAGAGTTGGCAGGTTATCATCCAGCTGCCTGCCCCCCATAGCCATTCCTCTTTAAAAAGCCACTTGCCTTGAAAACATGGTCATATATTGCAAAAATTAAAAGGCAAAATAGTTACATGTACATGACAGTCCCCCAAAGCCTGGCCAACAGCTGTCCTGACTCTAAAGCTGATCCAATAAATAAATAAATAAATAAAATCCCAAACAAACCTCGCTTCTATGGATGCTATGACATGCAAAACACAGCACATACATGTCCCAGAAAACACAGCATGCAAAAAACAAACCACAGGGAAAACTAATGGTGTATTCAAAAAAATAGCTAATTTTTACCTCTTTGGGCAAAGACCAGTAACTAAAAAAGGCTCAACAGAAACCTTGCTGAAATTAAGATCCAGAAAAAACTTTGCTTAAACTCCTGTAGGAATGCAAGAGAATTGCTTTTCTTTTCTCAAAATTCACCTAGGTAAGGTTGAAAACCAACTGCACTGATGAGCTGCAGGGGAGATGTCAGGGTTTACAAAGGCCATCAGATTTGGGTGAATGTCAAAGTTTCACCTACGTCCATAACATTGAGGGAGTTGCTTGCAAACACAGCAGTTTAAAACAGCAAAAGCTCCTGTGCCTAATGACATCAAATCTTTATGAACGGTGGAAGCTTTTTGTGCCGAGGCTCATGGCTGGTCCTTTCCCACTGAGATGACCCTGGGGGAAAACAAAGACAATATCGCCAGCAGAGCTCCAAACCTGATGGGAAGAGATCCTTACAAGTGAGTCTAAGCGTAGCTCTATGTTAAAAAGGAAAGGCTTATTTCTGGAAGAGGAGCCACAGCAGGGGGAAAGGCTTAGTCCTTTTATCTATTGTCTCTGCTTTTGGGAACACAGACCAAGCCCTTGGCTGGCTGCTGTTTTTTCCTAATTGGTTTCCTTGCATTTAATATGCTCTCCCCAAGTTCTTAGCCTATTTTCCCCAGCTGTAGCTTTAGCTCCTTCCTTAACTGCTTTCTTGACAAACACAGCTTGTGTCCCCCTTGCTGCCTATTCCATTTGCACATGACAGCAGTGTTACCACAGCTGACTCCATTCAGCTTCTGCTGTGAATCCCTAATTTGCTGTCTGTTAGGTTTAACCCTTTCCTTGAACACGCTGCTCTGCTTAACAGAGCCGATTGTTCCTGAAAATCTCTCTGATTTCTTTCCCCCACAAGACAGGCCTGGTGCCTTGCACATGGAGACTCCTGGGTCTGGTGAGACAGTCCCCACTGTGACAGTCCAGCGGTGGGGGCACCCACCTGGCTGGGATCATGGGGAATCCCCTATAGGGTAAGGAGGAGGTTCCCTTTCAATGTGTTTCATGCACAGTGCCCTGCAACAGCAAGTCCTTTCCCTCCTCAAGAGGCAGATGGCACAGCCGTGACCTTGACGTGACCTTGACAGTCACAGCTCCGGGAATGCAGTTGTGTGGGCACCGAGAAGCTGTGCTGAGCACGTCCCACCTCCTTACTCCCCTTCTTATCACGCAGGACTACATCTTCAAAGCCGGCTGGTGCCGAGCTGACCGTGGCTTGTTCCTGGCAATGCTTCTCCATCCGAGCACAGGCTCCGAGCTCCTGGACTTAGCATCCTTCCTCGCATCCAAACCTCCTGGGACCCAAGGTTGTCCGCCTGGTTCAGACCTGTTCTGACCCTGACCAGCCCAGCTGGTGCTGGCATACCGAGGGACACCAGAACCTTACCCCAAAAGGAGGGGCAGAGAATACAGCCTGTCCACACGTGGACAGCAACACGCAGTGTGCAAGGTACCAAGTCTTCCTTGGGGTGTTGGCCCTCGGCTCACGGGTGTTCCTCAGGGGTTGAGCTCCAGCCTGTTCTTCTCTAGCCAAGCAGAAGGTAATGGCCTGCGTAACACGCCAGCTTCAACGCCCACGTCCATCTCACGGGTGGCCGGGTCTTCTCTTCTGGGCTGACTGCCCGTTGGAGAAGCAGGGCTTGAGTTTGCTTTGTAGTAGCTTTTATCAGACCCGCCACATAGCTGGGCAGGACGTCAGATGTGCTCTGGAGCATGCAGTGCCCTTCTTCAGGCGCTTTTCTCTAGGGTGGCTCAGCACGGCCCAACAGGGCAAGTGCTGCTGGAAGACGGCCACTGGCCTTGGGTCATCTCGGGGAGCTCAGGCAGAGATGTTTCTCTGGGTGTATCTCACCCTCCACCCCCGGGGCACCCTGGCTCGAGGACCTTTCCCAGGGGATTCTCCTCCCCCCACCCCAGCCCTCTCCGACCGTGCAATGGGCACCGACTCCAAATCCCATGCCCGGTGCTGGGCACGATCTCTCCCTGGGGGCCAACACCACAGAGACAAACCATTTCAATGGCAGGAGTGAGCCATCCCCACTGCCACAGGAGCTGGGCTGCAAAGGACCCCAGACAGCTCCATCTCCTCCAACTGGCACCAATCCAATCCACACAGCAACTGGGCTGTGGGCAGCCTCCCAGCTCCATCCACTGCACCTCTGTTCCCCTTGGCTACAGCGGGGTAACACAGCTCTCAGCAGGGGCCTTAAAACCCCTACCCAGAGACCAGACTAGGGCTCAGTCGTGCTCCCAAGCATCCCGTGAGCACCGTGCTGGCAGTGGCAGGAGGGACCCGGTGCACTTTCAGCCATCACATGTGTACGCTTGTCCCTTCAGCATGGGACATGCTGGCCCATGGCCCTCCACCAAGTGGCGGCAGCTCAGCTCCTTTCTCTGTTCCCTTCCCATCCTGTAGCAACATACTTCAGGGCCACTCGCACCTCTGGCCAGTGAAAGCCCAAGCCTGACCCATCTGGCACGTGGAAGGCAGGGGCCAGGCTCGTGCCTGTCTCAGAGGCTGAGACAAGCATCTCCCCAGGCCAGCCCCCTGGCAGGAACCATGAGTGGCCTATAACAGGGAGAGAGAGCTGGCATGTGGCACCAAGCCGAGCCAGGAGCGCTCCACGGGGCACTTTCCTCAGAGCCCCCTCTTACCAGCACCGCTCTGGCTCGTTTGTTGGGACAGGGCTGGCAGCTCCTGGCTGTGCAACAGGTTGGGGTGAGAGCCCTGGCACTGCCCCCGTCTGCAATGCTCTGCGCCACCCAGGTAGAGCCAGCTCTGGGCCCTGCTGGGCACCCCCAGGCTGAACCATGAAGCACAGGCCAGGCCAGACACCATTCCCAGAAGTTTTATTATTTAAACATGCTAAAAGACTCAGTCCTTGAAGCAGCAGGGGCTGTGCCGCAGGGTGGGGATGCCTCCCCAGGACCAGCCACACTTGGAGTGGTGCAGTGGGCTCCGGGGGCTCAGGCTGCAGGCCCCAGCATGGGGGCAGGGTAGCTGTCCAGCTCCAAGGTTGGGATGGCCAAGGCCTGAAGTGCTGGATGCGGGAGGCCGGAGTAGGAGGGGCAGCTCCGTGCCTGCAGCAGGGGCACAGCAACGGGTGGGAGCAGGGCAGGGGGTGTGAGGGACATAGCATTGAATCTGTAGGCCCCAGCTTCTGCCCAGTGACAGCTCACAGATGGGGCAGGAGATATGGGGGGCACCTGCCAGCTTTGGGAGCCCCTGGGCCTGGAGCTCAACAGCTGCCTTCGCTGGAGGGACTTGGTGCCTGCATGGGCACAGGCTGCACAGGACAGCATCCCAGACTCCCGTGTGCCTCCAGCCCCGCTGTGTCCAGCCTCGCTCTGCTCTCTCCACCTAGCCCATCTCCTCACCCACCCCTCTGCCTTCTGCTCCTGCTCTCTCCTGGTTTACTCTCCCCCCTCCAGGCTGCAAGGGGCTGGGGGGCACTTTCTCCACTCTTCCCTTTGCGGGGGGTGGAAGTCAGGAGGGCCAGGCTCCATCACACACACACAGTGGGTGGGGGAGGGAGAAAGATGCTCTGGTCCTTTGATTTCCACCATCACTAACACAGTGGGGCTCGGGGGGCAGGGGATGCATCCAGCTCCAGCCAGCTAGGATTCTGGCCCAGGGCCTCGATACTCCACTGGGCTTTGCACCCTGCTTGGCTCCTGGATACACCTGCCCCCAAGGCTGCCAGGGCTGGCTGCGGCTCCAGGATACCAGGCACCACCAGGAAAAGTGGACTTGCCCCTGCTCAGCACTGTATAAATCCAGCCCCCTCCTGCCTAGCCCCGAGGATAATGGGGGCCCTGGAGACCAGGTGAGTCCCCCCTGGCTGGCCTGATGGCGTGAGGGGGCTAGGTGCACCACAGCACCGTATCCTCCAGCTGACTCTAGCCCTGTGCCCTTCTGGCTTGTGCCCCAACCTGCCTCTAGTCCCCTGACCCTGTCCAGTGCCCCTTGGCTCAGGGGCTTCCCCACGGCCTGCCCCTGCCCAGCTCTGTTGCCCCACAGCAAGAGCCCCCACCAGGCCTGCCCCTGCCCAGCTCTGTTGCCCCACAGCAAGAGCCCCCACCAGGTCTTGCCCCTCAGGCAGGCTCAGGAGCTGGCAGGAGGGGCTCGGCCCAAGGACCCTCCCTGCCCTCGGCGGCTGTGGAGTGACGTCATGGCTGTGGGAGAAGAGGGCACGGTGGCTCCAACGTGGGTGCAACTGGGTGTGGGGAGTCCCTCAGCCCAACTCGGGGGCACCCACCCCTGCCGGACGTACAGAGCAGCAACACAGCAAGAGCCTAGTCTGGGGGCGGGATGGCACGGGGCAGGGCAGGGGCTGTGCAGGGGCATGGGGGGCAGGAGCAGCCCCTCAGGGGTTGGGGTCCTTTTTCCGTTTCTGGAAGCGGCGGAACTTGCCCTGGATGGCCAGTGCGGCCTTCTCGGTCTCGGGCGCATTCAGGTCTATGTCAATCTCCTCCTCCTCCTCCACCTTCTTGGAGTCCCCGGCCTTGCCTGCAGGGAGAAGCAGCCGCAGCAGTAGCCACGTGGCCCCCACCTCCCAAGGGCAGGGCACTGCACTGTCATGTGCCCCATGCGGGCACTGGGAACCAGGCTGAACAGGGCAAGACCCATCAGACCTACCACGTCCCCCAAAGTACAAGTCACCTGGGCCCCTCTCCACGTCCCCAGGTCTCTGGGGCTTTTGTCCACCACATCCGTGACCCTGCACAGCCCGCGCCCCCACCCCATTTTCCCAGCAGCAGGCTGCACCCAGAAGCATAGCCAGGGGCTACAGCACCTCAGCTTCTGGGGGGTGTAGGGTCCAAGGAGCACCCAGGCCACTCCTGGGCCAGAGAGAAGCATGCACAGGCCCTGTGGGCAGCCTCCTGGCACATCCCTGGGCAGCCCCTCTGGTGTGGGGCCCCAACCAGTGCCCAGCCAGCCACATAGTGCCCAGGCCCCAGTGACTTCTTGCATATCCTGTAGGCCGGGGCCAGGATGGCACTGTCGCTCCACATTCCCCTCGTTAGCATCAATGACCGTAATGGGATGTGGCGGCACAGGGAGCCCTGGCCGCAGCTGATGGACAGCCTCGGTCACGGGGCTCGTGTGGCCAGAGGATCACTCTGTCTTCTGTGCAGTTCCCCAGGCCTCTGCTGATGTAGCGTTGTGAGCTGTGCCATAGCAAACACCACCCTGGGCACCCCTGACCCCACCCACAAGCTGCCTGCCTTGCACTGCAGCTCCAGGACTGCTGGAAGGAGAGAGGCTGCACTGGGCAACATGCAGCGTGTCCTGCGCTGCCCCCTTGCTCCGTGCAGCAGGGGACCAGGGCCCTTTCTGCTGCCTTTACTGCAGGGACAGATCTCTCAGCTCCACGGACAGCACCTGTCTGCCAGGGCAGCTGAGCTGGAGCACTGCCCGCCTCACTCACCTTTCTGCTGGCTGCCGGGAGCCTCGGTGGGGGAAGGCGACGCATTGGAGCCGAGCTGCAAGGAGAGAGGTGCCTGTTACATGCGCTGCTCAGCCACGCGGCATGCATCCTGTGCACAGCAGCCACAGGGACTGCATGGGAATCCCTGGAGCAGGCAGGAGGCCTGCCAAGCGGGGCCACGTGGCCCCTAGAAGCTTGGGCACTGCAGGGGCTTGTGCCCCGATTGCAGTGCCCAGGGGCTGCCACAGTGCCTTCCTCCAGCCAGACCCCACAGGCCCCAGATTCTGCCCAGCAACTCCATCAAAGGCTCCTGTAGCACAGCCACGGCACACGCCCGCTTCAACCTGCAGAGCTCAGCTGCCTTGGCCCAGCTGCCACGTGCAATGCACGCACGACTGCCCCGACATCCCTGCCCCACCCTGCAGCAGGATGCCTGCAGCTCCCATCCCGCAGGCTTGGAGGAGGATGTGCCCCAGCAACTCCACACAAACTGGACTGGCCATGTGGGGCAGAAAGCTGGCAACCCCACGCAGGGGGCACTGGGCTGGGCAAGCTGCTGTGTGACACTCAGGTATGCAGCATCCTTCCCTTTGCCCCGGTGGGTGGCAATTTGGGGGTGCGGGGTAGGGGCACCGACTGGCACCACACCAGGGCTGCTGGCTCCGGTGCAGGCCGTCTTCCCTTGTGCTGTGCCTGGCAAGAGCTGCCCCCAGGTGCTGGGGATTTCCCACCTCCCCGTGCCCATGGGCTTGGAGTTGCCCTGGTGGGAGCCAGCAGCTGGAACATGCCCTGCCAGTGAGCCCCACAGCTGGGGACAGACGTGTCCATGGGCAAGGCAGCAAAGGCTGGTCCACCCTGCCAGATACAGAAAGGTTTTCCATGCGGCTTGTTCCTAGGGATTGTGTCAGTGGCTTCCCCAGACTTGGGCTCGTAGCCAGCAGGCCCCTCCAGGCCCATGTGGCAGCTTGTCCTGTCTTCACTTCCCTCCTGGTCACCCACACATGCAAGTCACAGTGTCAGCAGGGCAGACCCATGGCCCCAGGACCTGATTGAACCTTGTGCTCTGCCCATCTCCAAGGAGCCCGGACTACTCCCTCCACCCAGCTGTCCTGCGTGGTCTCTGCCTGCACCACCGCGCTGGGAGTCATGTGCCATTCCCAGAGCCAGAACCCACAGGGGCCCTGACAAGACATGGCAGCAGGGAGGGCCAAGGATCCCCTCCATCAGGGGATCAGCCCCAGTGCCCACAGGGCTGGTTGGGAGCGCCACCACAGCTGCAGAAACCGCCGAGCCGGGGTTAGACACCAGCAGCATCAGCACTGCAGGCCAGGCACAGGGCTGTGTACCCAGGCCCTCCCATAGCAGAGACCCCACCCATCAGGCCTGCGCCCCAGGGAGCAAGTGCCCCACCAGTGCTGCACAAGGCAGGCAGGGGACCCCCAGCATCCCTGCCGCCAGGAAGCAGCAGGCAGCATAAAGTGGACAGAACTGTACAGGAGGAGCTGCCTGCAGCAGACCAGGGGCAGTGAAGTCCTGGGAGGTGAAATGAGGTCAGAGGCCTGGGCTGGCCCCACCAGCCCTGGCACACTGGCCCATGCCCTGCCCCTGGTTATAGCCCAGTACCAGGACTGGCTGAGAAGCTGCTTGCAGGATGGGGCCAGCATTATGCCACGAACCTATTACTAGCCCGTTTTGTTACCCTGCTCCTGGGGCAGTGTTGTTATCAGAGCCCAGGGCTCCCCGATGGCCCCAGCATTGCTCAGTTTCCCTCCCGTGTACCTGTGGCTGCTGGTGGGACCCAGGTCCAGGGGGGACCCTAGGCTGCCTCCGACATCCAATTGTTTCCTGTGGGACACCCCAGAGGACTGCTCCAGCCCCTCCCCAAGCTGTGGGGGCACAGGGAGATGATACAGTGCCATGGGAGCCCCCACCACCACTGCCTGCGCTGCCCCAGGTACCCCATGAGGAAAGGCTGGGCCTGCCCCCCAGGCAGGAGCCCCCACAGCCTGTCCCCAGGGCACCCCGTGGGAAGAGGCTGGGCTGCGTGGTGCTCACTGCAAGCAATCGCTCCCTCCCCAAGCATGAGCACGAGACCCCCCTGCTGCATGCTGTGCTGCTGCTGCGCGGCGCTGCGGGGAGGCGGCTGGCTCCCAGCACAGCCCCTTTGTTTTCAGGTCACGTCCGTTCCCATCCCCGCTCCCTCTAAAAATAGCACGACGATTATTTTTGTTTTCATTCCATTGTGGCTTTCCGCAGGTCACGAGCCGGCAGCTCCCCCGTGCCAGGCGGGCGCCCCGCCTCAGCTGCCCAAGGGGCTCTATTGGCACCCCCCAGTTCTGCAGAGACTAACCCTGACCCCCAGCACAGCACCCCCTCCCCGCCTACAGCCCACTATCCCCGACACGCGCCAGCCAAGCCACGCGCTGTGCCGGGAACTCCTGCCCGCGCTGACCGCGGCGGCCAGGTGGGGCTGCCCAGAGCCTCCCAGAGGCTGAGCCAGGCGTCTCCCAAGCTGGCGGTGCAGGGAGAATTCCCCGGCTCGGGGCCAGGCAGGCAGCCTAAAATGGAAGTAAATGCAAGGCAGAGAATCACCCCTGTGCTATTTTCCAGCCCAGTGCTCCCAGGCACAGTCCTCTGGACCCCAGCCGTGCCTGCTCCTTCACTGCCAACCCCCAGGATCCAGAGCCACCTCCCAGCTCAGGCACAGCTGCTCCCCTCCTCCAGGGGAAGTCACCCCAGCCTGCCCTGCCCTGGACCCCAGGTGCCTTTGCCACCTGGAGCCATTTCCATGGCCTCACCCCGAGGTGGCAGCTGCAGCCTTGCACATAGCACTGGGGCCGGGGGTCCTGGAGCAGATCAGCCTAACTCACACAGCAGCCCCCAGCTGGTGAGTGAGCCCCATAACCTCTCACCCCCAGGGGAGCCCAAGGCCCTGGCCTGCTGCTCCTGGATTGTCACAGCACCTCTGGCTGGGAAACACAAAGCCCCTGCCTGAGCCTTGCATGTGTCATGCCCTGGCCAGCAAGGGGAGTCCTAGACATCCCTTGCCCCATCCATGGGCTGCAGTCACTCAGCTGCACGGGCACCAGAGCCCACAAACAAAGCTGCAGCTGCCAGAGCTGCAATACAGGCTTGTGAAGTCATTGGCAGCCACCAACAGCGATTTGCACCCATGGTCCATGAGGCATTGCACCTGGAGCTGGGCATCCCTATGGATCCATGCAGCACCACAGTGCCCAGGTTGGGGCTGAGCCGAGGGCTCCACTGCACCAACCCTGCTGCTTCCAAGAGCAGAGGGGCTTGTCACATAGCCCAGCCCAGGCCTGCACAGCTCCCCCATTGCACCCAGCCCCATGATCTCCCTGCAGGCCAGGAGCCTCCATCATGCCAGGTCCCACAGCCCCACCCTCTGCCCCAGCCAGGAGCCCCCTGGCACTGGTGCCACAGGTCTCTGATGAAAGTGGGGCTCCCCACTGCACTGAGCCTCATGGGCACCCCAAGCACCAGACACCCCAGCAATAAGGCCCCTGCCCCAGTGCACGCACCATCTATGAGATATGCCTGGCCTGGGGCAGCCCAGCCAGCCCTGCTGAGCTGCCCCTAACAGTGGGGAGCAGGGGAAATACTCTGCACTGGACATGGCTCTCCAGGGAAAACCTATATCCAGGCCCCACTCACACTAGGCATCACAGACCCCAAGAAGGGGCCAAGGAGAGGAAAGCACAGAGCTGGGAGCACCAGGCCAGCCAGACTGGGGGGCAAAAATACATGGGGACAGCACAATCTCACAGAGCCAGAGCAAGGCTCTCCTCTGGGCACATGTTCCCCAACACTGCAGCCCCAACAGGATAGAGGCAGGGCACCAAGGGTCCCAGGGAGCAGCTACAGTCACATCTCAGCCCTCAGGGTCGCCCGCACCCCTGGCCCACATTCCCCCCCTGCAGGGGTGCTGCACCTGAGCCGAGCAGCTCATGGGGGGAAAAAAGAGGGGCAGCAGGGTCCCCTTGGCAAGCAAGGGGCAGGGCCCTCCTGCTGCTCCCTCGCAGGCTGGGTACACCCCCGCCCTCCCTTAACCTGATAAGCTGCTCCGTGCAGCAAGCAAATCTGCCTTCCCTGGAGAGAGCCTCCTAATTATCCCAAGCCGGCACTGCGCCAGCACTGCCAGCTGCTGCTGGAGATGCAGCATCACTGCATGGCAGGCATCCCTCTCCCTGCATCACAGCCCTGGTGCCCCTGGCTGTGTGGCACAGCTGGCATCTCCCCACTGCTACCTCCGCAGCTTCCCTGCATGGGAGGCGCCATCCAAATTGCTCCAGGCACCAAAGAACTCTCCCTGCTCCCTCACCAAGAGGCCCTCCTGGGAGCTGCCCTTGTCCACTCCTCACAGCGTGCACTGGTGCAGGGGCAACCTGGTTGCAACTCACCCCCTGTCAGGGCTCTCCCTCAGTCCCTGGGACAGCAGCAGTCTAACACCTTGGCGGGGGCTTGCCACCAAGGCAACCCCACCTCCCTTCCCCACAACAGTAGCCTCCAGGTAGGGTGCCCATCACCCCTGGGCAGGCTGGTGCAGGGTGCCCATCACCCCCAGGGTGCAGCCCACCTTGGCCACAGGGATGCACCAGTGCAGCAAAGTCCACAGAAAATGCAAGTTGGGGTAGAGGGAAGAAAAAAGGGAGGAAGGCCCTTACCCCAAGGGGGGGGTTGCTCTGCCCAGGTCGACCCTTCCACCCCATGCTTCAGGCCCCCCACAGCAGCTCATGGCAGGGATGACCCCAGGCTGCATACATAGGCCACCCAACATACACAGGAACATAGACCCAGACACTAGTTGCCACCACCCCCAGCATCCACGGGAGCAGAGGTGCAGCCTGGCCCCAAAGAAGAGCCAGGAGCAGAACGCAGGAGCCAGGCAATTACCCTCATACTGAAAAAATGCCACCACACCCCATGGCTGCTGGACTGCTCCAGCGAGAGCCTAGGCCAAGGCACACGTGGGCTGGCACTGCTGTTCATGAGGGATGTGGGGAATCACAGCAGGAGCATTGGTGGGGTGGGGACAACTCGCAGGCAGGGGCAGGGGCCAGAGACAGCCATCTCTGGTCACAGGCAGGGCCAGGTGCCCCCTCAGCCAGGATCAGCCCTGTGAGCCCTCACCTGTCCTAGCCCCAGTGATGCTGGGAGAGCCAGCCAGCAGCAGGGGCAGGCACCTGCACAAGAGCCACCCCCTGCTGCATCTCTACTCCTCATGCCCGTGGGCCCAGTGCTGCCAGCTCTGCCCGGGCTACCTGCCCCCTGGGGTCAGAACATAGGCAGGGCTCTGCACAGGGCCCTCTCCCAGCTCTGCCAGGCAGATGCTGCACCCCAGAGGCAGCTGCATCTCCGTGGTGCTGCAGGATAGGCAGAGCTGTGGACATGTGCCTCCTAGTCAGGGCACCAGCACTCCCTGCTAGAGCACTAAAGTAGAACCAGCAATGCCAGGGTCACGGTAGGCCACATGTGCAGCTGCTTGGAGTATCACACAGCAGCGAAGACAGTCACCTCCTCCAGGACCAGCAGCACAGGAGGCTGAGACTCCCCAGCAGCTATGAGTAGTACAGGGTCTATGGCCCAGTAGCAGAGGTCCGCAGCCTCACACCCACCCCTTCCTCCATCATAGCGCATGGCCCTGGCAGCAGCCCGAGGAGTGAATCAATGCAAGCAGAAAGGGCCCCATTAGCAGAGGCAGCATCCTCCACTCCTGGCACATTTCCTGCCCCTAAGGACAGACAGTACCCAAGCTGCCAAGTCAATGGCGCGGCCAGATCAGGTCCCAACCAGGAGACGCAGGCTGCCCATCTCCAGCCTGCTTGGCACCAAGTGGCTGCACCGTGCCCCCAAAACAGATGCTGCCGCCAGCACTGCAGGGCACAGCGAGCGTTTCAACTTAGGCATAGAGGCTGGCTCCCCCCAGCCCATACCCTTGGCCATCAGGGGCTCCAGGCCTGGGCAGCCAAAGTCTGGGGCCAGCTCCTGCTAAGAGACTTGAGGGCCCAGAAGATTCCCTGCACCCCCTGCAGTGCTCAGAGCCGGGTCCAAGGACAGCTAGTGAGACACAGGGGCTCTCCATTGTCTCCAGTGGAGCTGGAAGAGAGACCCTGCCTGCAGTAGCCCTCTCTGCCCCTGGCTGCATCTGCCTCTGTGCAGCACCAGCACAATGGGCTCCATGCCTGGCTTCAGCTGAACCTCTTGGCTCCACACCAGCACTCCTAAGTATATGGTGCCGCATCACTGAGGGGCTGCCCTGCTCCCACCGCAGGGGGCAGGGAGAGGCCGACAGGCAGGTGGGACCTATAGACTGCACGTTCACAACAAACTGCGCCACAGGCTGAGGCAGCCCGTGCACAGCTGCATGCCCAGGAAATGCTACCATGCACTTCAGAACTGCACACTGCAAGGCAGCACCCACATCTCTGCACAAGTTGCATGTACCCATGGCAGGGGCATGTCTGCAGCCACTGCCTGCCTGGTGGGATGGAGAGCATACCCCACCTTCCTCTGCACTCTGCTCACCTGCTGCCAGCATGGTTTGGGGCAGGGCATGCCTGCTTCCAGCAGAAGCGTAGAGCCACACGCAGCAAAGTTTGTGAGCAAATCAATTGGCTGAACATCGCACTGCATTGCTGGAAACAGAACAGGCAGCATCACCATCCCAGGCCTCAAGATTCACCACCTAGGACCCACAGAGCTGCTACCCTGGTGCACTCGGGTGTCCTGGCCAAGCTCCAGGCAGAACATGGAGCTCACAGCAGCGGGAAGTCACATAGCAGAGCCTGTCCCAAGTGGTTGCAGCTTCTGGCCCCAAGTGCTGACAGGGTCCCAGCAAGCTGTTTAGCATCACCATCAGCCACCCGAGGCAGGAGCAAGTCAGCCTCACCGCCTGCTGGTAGGGTGACGTGGGCCAGCTGGGAGCAGGCCCCTACCTCAGGCTCAGAGCCCCAAAGCAACTGGGGGATTTCTCCCCTTTCTGGCTCAGGGGTGCTGCCAGCAGGTACTGGCCCCATGTGGGGAAGCCGTCTCGCCCTACCCAGTGCTGTATCGGAGAGACTGTGCCCAGAGGAGGAAAAGGTGCGAGGCAGCTGTCCCTGTACACAGGAGCCCGGCTAATCTCTCCCCCGACTACAGGGCCCGGTACAAGCATCCCAATCACGTCCTGCCTCTCATGTGCCCTGGACCATTGCAACTCCAGCAGCACCTGAACGCATCCAGTCTAGTGCCCTGGGGTAGAGTCCGCCTGTTCCCATGGAAAGGCAGAGGGAGCCCAGGGGAAGGGTAGAGCCCATCACGACTGGCGCGTGGAGTCCATGCCACAGACAGCACAACAGGACCAAGGCAGAGGGGTCCACGGATGGGATGGCACAGCAGGACAGCCAGCCAATCAGGATCAAGAGACAGAACTGCAGGGGAAGAAAGTGAGCCAATCACATCACAAGAAAAGAGGCTAGGAAGGGGGGCAAGTGGCCAGCAAGGAGTGGGTGCCCCTGGAGGGAGTTTGCAGGAGGCAGGGAGGGGCTGGAGCCCTGCACATGTGACCCAGGACCAGGCTGGGCTGGGGAACAGGGCTGGCAGTGGACATCCTGCCTAGGACCTGCAGGCTGGAGTGGGAGAAAACATCCTCTTCCTGCGCCTGGTGGGAGCTGGGCTGAGAGGAGGGAGCTGGGAAGGGCCCAGGGACATTTCAGGTCAGGGCTGGTGCAGGGGAAACCCCACTGCAGCCAGCTGGGTGGGGGATGCAAGAGGGAGCCCTGCAGAGGCAGTTTCTTCCCTGGACACACCAGCCCTGCCTGGGACCACAGCAGCATCCCTCCCTGCCCTGCCGACACAGCTCCCCGCTCCCACAGAGGACTGCGGTGCCTGGGGGCTTTTGGCCCTACGTATGTACCTGCAGGTCAGGACACTCCAGCTCCACTAACAGGCCGGGGCTTGGCAGCACAGCGCTGGCCCCAGCCTGCTCCGCAAAGCACAGGGTGGCTGGATGTGGTGCCCAACCCTACAAGGTCCCATCTGCACAACCCGCCTGCAGGCAGGACCTCGTGCCGGGAAGCCTTGGAGCCCAGCCAGCGGGGACTTCCTGGAGACCAAGGCCAGCAGCACCCCAGACCCCCGGCCTCGGCTCCTCGAGTGATGCTGCCCCCCGCCCCAAAGAGCCCGGCCGGGCAGGGCCACCGCTCCCAGGGGCTCAGCCCCAGCAGCACGGCTCCCTCCGGGGGCAGGGCCGAGGCGACACCCCTCTGCCCCGTCCCGTCCCCGCTCCGTCGCGGCGCCGGGGAAGGGAGGGGAGACCCCCGGCCAGCCCGGGGCACCCGCCACCCGCGTCCCCGACGAGCGCGGCCCTCACCTCGCTCATAGTGCGGGGCGGTGCACGGGGCGGTGCAGGCG